ATATAAAATCTTAAAATTAAAGAACTAAAACTGATATTCCAAGAAGTTAAATCCCCAACTACAAACAAAACTACAAATGACAACTACAACCTATAATCAATGCAGTGTATGAGTACCATATTACAGGAAAAATTACCGAGGAGAGCTCACTTGATGATTTATCATTCCTTCTTCACATTCCATTTCTTGTTAGTTGTTATTTATTCTAGTTTCTGCGGACCAATATCGTTAGCAGTTTCATCCATTCGGAGATTGACTCATCTGAAAAATATATCTGGGCCTCCATAGTTATTATATTCGGAACACATTACAAATCAGACTAGCCTGATAAGTGCCATATTACAAATAAAATTACAGAGGAGACCTCATTTAATTATCTATTTTTTCTTCTCCACATTTCATTTCTTTTGCTAGTTAATCTCCTGTAAGCTCCCACAAGTAGAAAGTACGCCCATTCTGGAATTAAGTCTGAAAAATCTGCATGGGCCTCCTTAGCTCTTGCAATCAGAAAATTTTCTCTCAGCCAAACCATCAACAATTTCAACACTGCTACAGGCAGATGTTCTGCAACAGAAAACTCGGGTAAACAACCAGACTTCAAAAAATTATTTCCAAGGTACCATAAAAAAATAAAAAATGCAGAGGAAAGCAGACTTGGTTATCTATTTTTCCTTCTTTCTTACATTTAATTTCCTTTTAATCTTTTAAATCATCCCAAGAAACATACCTAGACTGTTCATTGATTGCTTTATATCCAGGGGAAGAGACTCCCAATCCAAGGCCTCAACAATTCTGGCAAAGTAGAAGACATCTAATGTTGTTTTTCGGAAATGGTATCTTGGAATCAACAGATGTTCTCCTGCAATTCATAGCTTTGGGTGAGCAGCCGCACTTCAACCAAAAAATTCCTTGCCCTCAATAATTTATACTCTTAATGTTTTCCCTACGTTAACAGAGAAACAAAGCTCTAATGTCATGGGAATGATGGGACATTTCCCATCAAGAACTATCCTCATTCTCCCTGTCAGATTCAATTTGTAAGAAAAAATGGAGAAAAGGCTAAAGCTAAAGGTATTAGAGATTTAATAAAGAGGGACAGGATTCTTGTTCATCATAATAAAGTTGGGTTTGGCAACTCAATTGCTTTGCTCTGAGGTTGAAGGAAATTTCAACATCATTCATCTTTCTAAACAAGAGATAGAGATTTACCAGACAATTGCACGATCATCTCTTCACATAAGAAGCGAACGCCAATCTCTTTCACCTTGAAGGGTTGGATAGCCGTCCTTACTTCAACCAGAAGTCTGTTCCCTCCATTCACCAAACTTGGAGCTCTCCAATAGCTGACCCACATGACTTCATCTTTTTGGGGGTACCCAATGACCCTTGGAAAGTATGCATGGAAGCAACCAGTAGTGATATTATCAATCCTTATGCCTAAAGTTGGATCACAAGAATAGGGTTTATTTACCAAATAAACAACACATACTGCAAGCCCTTCGAAACTTCCACATGATAGTTGAGGCACGTTAATATTTAAGCGATTGCCTTTATTCCTATTATTAAACCAACTCGGAACCCTTTTTCCAGGAAGAAAAATGCTATAAACCCCACTTCCACACTGAGACAACCCCTGATACATGAAAAATGAGAATAGTGTAATCTTTTCTTAAAGAAAAATTAGAAAATAATAAAGACAGACAGAAAAAAGAGAGTAGAAACCTGAATGGGAGCCTTCATCCATGTGCATGCTGCAACATTATGAAGACTGAACTGCTTTTTAAGCAAATAATCCAATCCGAACAAGCGCTCTAACTTAGAAAGTTCACCTCTAGCTAAAGGTCTCAGCTTATAAATTCCTTGAATCTCAACTAGTTTTTCACAGCCATTAAAAGCAAAGAAAGAACAATTAAATCTCCTAACTGATTGGATATGATTTTCTTGTAAATCAATCACTCCTTCATATGCCACTCTCTCCAACACTGTACAATTCCTTGCATTCAAATGTGTGTGTAAGTTGGCTTCTACAGTTTGAAGCTTATTGCACTTACTTATGTTCACTTGACTTTGATGAGGAAGGGAGCTAAGATCAATAGGTAGGCTGCAAAAGTTGTTTTTGGATAAATCCAATTTTTGCAACGTGGTGCTCAGACAAACTATGGGATCTGTTGTCCTTGATAGATCACAATCAGAGACATCAAGCTCTTTTAACTTTGGCAAATGCAATAGACAAGGAGGTAAGCTGTGAAAACTGTTTCCTCTTAGCAACAATTTCTCCAGAGCTGGTAGGCCATTGAGGTCTCTGGGAAATGAATTATTTGATAGATTGCATAATGAGAGATTCAAGCTTATCAAAGAAGCAAAATTCCATAATGCAGACAAACTGTTGATGTCTGGACTTCCAAATGAATTTCCTTCATTGTCCCATAAAAATTCAGTAAGATTCTTCAGACGGCCAATTGAAATGGGTAAACTATTGATGGCAGTCAAGCCTATATTTAGCTCCTTCAAACTGTCCATGTTACCAAAATCCTCAGGCAACTCTGTTAGTTTTGAGCAGTGATATAAATTAAGGTTCTCAAGAAAACTTAGCTTACAAATCTGTGTGGGAAGATGAACAAGGTTCTTGCAGTTTTCCAAGTCCAAAGAAATGAGTTTACCAAGATTGCCAATGGACTGGTGTACCTCAATCAAATTGATGCAGTCCATGAAGATCAAATTTTCAATATTGGATAGACCTGATATATCAGAAATTCTGATTAAGTTATGAGAATGACTGAGATCAAGGACTTTCAGATTTTTAAGAACCTGCAAAAAGGACAAGGTCAGCTAAATCTCAAAGGGAGAAAAAAAAAAAAAAAACCCTCTAATCAAAGATAACACAGACCTAAAATAAGCAAAATATACAGTTCTACCTCTGTTTGCTCCCAAATTTGTTTGAGGTGGCTATATCTTAACTTTAACACAACCAATCTTTTGAGATTTAAACCAGGCGGTATAGATTCCCAAGGAAATCTCTCCCAACACAGCCATCTTAATTCTTTTGAAAAATGTTGGCAGCCTCCAATGAAGCCAGCATTTCTAAGATGGAGTATTCTTAGTTTGTTCATCCTTGCAAGTGCTTCAGTACTAAATGACTTCTTCCCTAATCTAGGGAAGTTGCCCACAAGGCCTGCGACTTTGTCCGTACCCTGATAACAGTAAGCAATGACAATGTCAAATAACAACCTATATACGCTGTTTCAGCAAAGAATTGGAGGTAGGATACTGGGAGAATGTAATTGGTGCTTACCTCATGGTGTTTCAGCACCTTACGGACGTCCTTATGAAAAGATAGTCTGCTGCGCTTGCCAGGTTCATCAGCATTTTCTCTACGAACAATTTCTCTTGCAATATTTTGAAGCAGATCATGCATTATTAGCTTGTTGTCAAGACTTACTGTTAATAGGCACTTTTGGGTAAGAACACGAAGTAGGATTTTCGTATGGAAGCCACAGCCATCTAATATTGGAATTGCATCCTTTTCATCCATCCCCACAAAGAAAAATGCAATGTCAAGAAAAATGGCCCTTTGATGGTCATTTAGTGAATCAAGACCCATTTTAAGTCCTTCATAAATTTCTCCATTAGGAGCACTCTTGAGTTCCTCAAATGCACTTATCCACTCAGGTATAGTTTTATCTGATAGGAAAGAACCCAAAACTTTAAGAGCTAATGGATGCCCTCCAGCATATCTCACAATCTTATGGGAAAGCTCTGCAAAATAATCTGGAGGATCATGTTGTCTAAAGGCATGCCAACAAAAGAGTTGGGAAGCAGAATAAAAAGATAGAGGCAGGACCAAAAATTTGGCATCCACTCTATGAGCATTAAGTAAATTTTCATCTCTACTTGTTACTATGATTCTGCTTCCAGCACCAAACCAGTTGTGCTCTTTAGCAAGTGCTGCTAGCTGGTCCAGGTGATCAACATTGTCGAGGATAACAAGAACCCGCTTGTACTGTAATCTTCTCTTGATTTTATTAATGCCATCATCAATATTGCTTACATATAAGTCACGTACCCTTAAAATGTCGTGGAGAAGTCTCTTTTGTAAATCAACCAGTCCATCACCTTGTTTTGATGCTAGACAAACATCTTCAAGCAAACTGTTACCTTCAAAGAGTGGGAAGATTCTATTCCTAATAACCTTGGCAATTGTTGTCTTTCCTATTCCAAGCATTCCATAGATTCCTATGAAGCGAACATCTTTAAAGTCAAGTCTCAAAAGTGATATTAATTCTTCTTCCCGGCTTGCTATTCCAAAAAGTTTGTCGACATCACTAAGGTAAGCAGGATGTAATTTCCCCCACATCTCTTCAATGATTCTCTTGATCAACTCGGACTCATCCCTGAGTTTTATGAGAAGCAATGAGATTCATGCTAAGACCAAGTGACCAACTAAAGCTTGTTTATGCCATGTTTTTTATGTCATAGTGTTAGCTCTACTATTCAGTGAGAAATGGTGAGCACAATAACTGTGATTCATCACATGCACGTATATGCATAAGTTAATGACCAAAAGAAAATCAAACCCATAATGCATAGATTAAGCAGGTCTTAATAATCAACCACTTCCAGAAAAGCTCAACTAAATAGATCAACTCAACTCTTATTAATTCAAATGACCATTCAAGTAAATGAGTAATGACATCAGCAAGTGGAGGAAAATGAACTATATTACCCGTTGAAATTTTGCAGATCAAACCCGGCCAGACTTGCAGTATTGGTAAGAGCAGTCTTCCACCTCTCCACTTTCTCCAGCGGAACCTTCTGGTGACACACAAATGCTTCACCAAAGCTTCCCCTCTGTTTATGAATGTCTGAGGGATCCACATGGAAGAAAATAGGCAGAACAATCTGTCCTAATCTTTCCCTGCAATCAAGGATCTTCACAAGCTCATCAAGGCACCATCTGGAACCAGCATAGTTTTTTGAGAACACGATAAGGGCAATCCTAGACTGCTCGATCGCTTCCAATAGCTCAATGGAAATGTCACATCCTCTCTGGAGCTCCTTGTCATCTTTGTAAGCCCTAAATCCAACCTGGTTTAAAGCAGAATAGAGATGACTGAGAAAATTCTTGCGGACATCTTCACCACTGAAGCTCAAGAAGACATCATAATTCCAA